ATTCCACTTCGTGACCATCTCAACTATGCAGAAGTCTACATATACTAATATTATATAATATATACTTTTATACTAACAATACTGATGTTAATAATTCATCAAAAACTGGTGTGCAAATGATGCGCTCTAAAGTATAGAGCGCATCATTTGCACACCAGTTTTTATGTAAATATTCTTGTTTGTAAATATGTTGAATTATTCTAATTTTTTTGTCTCTGTATAATAGTGTTGGGGGGTATATTTAACTTTTCAAGTTGCATTATCTTCTTATCGTAAAACTTGCCATAACAATAAGTTTGCATTGTTATATAATGAATGATAAATAATATTACTGATTAGCACGTGTATACATGTAACAAACATGTATTTTGTTTGTTTTCTCAAGTTTCTCATTGAAGTTTAACATAAATCATTTAATTTAACATAAATCATGTTACATTCGTCAATAAACGAATGTTGATTCAGAACGTATAGGATACTATTATTCCACTTGTTTGCACTATTTCAATTGTATTATCTTTACTCTTGCATGTAGAAACTTTATAACCTTGTGTATCTTGAGCGATTGCACGAAATAGCCTTGTTTAAACCGAGAAGTGATTCGTACTCGCGCACAAGCTGTCCAACATCATTCAAAATACGACAGTGAATCAGAGACGTGAAATGTGACATATTCGCGAAATTACGGTATATAAAATCTCTCAATTGATTTTTCGTGAAAGATCTCTACTGCGAAATAACTATTTGTATTTAACATCATTTTTATGAGCAATTTAATTAATTTATAGAGTTTGACGGAGATCTTTTGAAAAGAATTAATTAAAAATTTATCATTTTACAAACTTTTACATTTTTGCAACATTGCAAGAGAAATAATAAACAAACCACTTGTGTGTAGTACTATAAATTTCGGACTTTTAGTTCAAACTGCTAATTAAGTTACTGCTTAAACTAGATAAATTTGCACTTTCAGGATTCGACAAACTTTTACTCTCTTCAGCAAATAATGTCGTAATTACACAAAGCCGTAGTACAGACGAATAGTTTATCGACATTTTGCTATTGTGTACAAAAGCACAAGAGATCACTCTGTTGTAATTCCATTATGTGCAAAGCTGCTTAAATTCAAGCGTATTGTTCCGTTAGCCTTGATATGTAATTTCATGATTATATCATTAATGGGTGTCCACCGGATTAAGTGCGTAAGCGTGTATCGTTCTAGAATTCACGCCCTTGAATCGGTCTGCTTAGAAATATTTACGTAATTTTCCAGCAGCGAAATTTTATCTATTATTGCCACTTACCTATTATTGCCAGCGTACGGTCACGTATGTTAAGTCATCATTGTCGTAAGTACGTGAAATACGCAATCAAGCATAACAAAGCATAATTTTGAAATATTTCTTTCTTGGGATATTATATTTAGAGATCAATGTTCAGTAAAATTCCATTAACAATAAACGTTTTAATACGTTTTTACTTGTCCATAAATTCGTGGATATACAGCATTAATTTACAAAGAATAAATTTCGATATCATTTTTTAATTATTTTTTTAACATAACAAATGTGATTTTAAAGCGATTCATTCAAAAAATAACAAAGAAATAATACCGTACTTTCCGTTAAATGTTCCTTTCCTTTAATCTTCATTTTTCTCCCTCTTTTTCATTTACAATTGAATATGAAAAGAATTATTTTTTTATTTTATTCTTGCAAACCATTTTACTTAGACGTTATAATTCAACGTTATAATTCAACGTTTGAAAATAAATTTATTTATCAATTGAAAACGTTACCTTAATTTGTGGAAAACAATGTAAAAAATATGAGGAATTATTAAAATATGTACTAAGTAGAATATTAATTACAATACTCGTTACATATAATTACAATATTCGTAAAAAAGAAGTCAACAACGTAATAAGTTGTAGGCAAATCGTACAATATTGCGAGACAGTTCACACGATAACATTTTCCAAGGCAGAATGATGATTCATATTTCCATTCGATCAGTATGTACCACGTCACAATATATTTCTGACACGCAATTGTCATATATAATTAATTATATTGTGATATTATAAAATTCATAATATGAAAATAATTCTTGTTTTGCTCGTATCTTTAAATGATGCGCATTTATAATTTTTAAATTACAAAATTGAACTGGTTATTCTTGTGTGTTATTTTATCCTTAGCCTCGTTTACGCCATTGAATACACTGTGAATCATAGCGGATTATATTAATAGAATTATTATTTTCTTCATGAAACTTTATTTAACGAGTTTGACGTATAAATATTTATGAACAAAAAATTTTATGAAAACAATTTTTAATATTAAATTTAATTTTAATTATTACGTTTATTATTAAATATTTTAATTGGATTCTGATTAATCAAAATATATAATGTAGAAAGATATTTTAATTTTTGTTAGTGAATAATGCATCTTATGAATATATATATACAATAGACGATTAAATACATTAAAATAATTAAAATTGCAAATATGTATTTTTTTCTTTCTTGGCAGGTGAAGCAGGTTTCTTTGATGTCAGTTGAAGAATAAACACGAGACAGGATGCAAATTCAACAGATCCTAGGCGTGTGCCATCGTCTGGTAGAACTAATTGTGAGAGGAATATCACTATTAGTTGCTTTTGTCAGAGGGCCGGCGCAATCTCAACCACCTATCAAAGATTTAACTCTCCTGCACAGCACAACCACTTTAGCGTTAAAAATTCGAAATAGACAAGTAAGTTTTTATCTCACATTTTTTTAATTTGCTCAGTGTTTGATAAATTTTGACTGTTTGAAGGTTTGATAAACTTGCTTTTGATAAGTTTTTATCAGCTCATTTCTGCTCGCTGATCTTTTAAATTATCGATTTAAATTATCGAATAAAAAAGTGAAGTTTTATTTTTTAATTATATGAGTTATTATTGATACCAAGTAGTATTGCGATGCTTATCTTGAACATAAGAAATAAAAATAACTCGTCTGTATTTTCTCTATTTTTCCATTAATTTTACCATTAATTGTTTCTTCGAAACATAAAAGAACTAGATCTGCATCGTACTAAATATCATAATTAATAACATAACCAGGATAAATCTTATTAACTAGACGACACACTTCTGCTCATGTTGGCTAATTATTAGTCATTATGTAACTATTTATTATTTACAGTTAACTTCCGAAGATGTGGTATCTTCATATATAGAAAGAATAAAAGAGATTCAACCGATACTCAACTGTGTGGTCGCAGAATGCTTTGAAGAAGCTCTTAAAGAAGCGAGAAAATGCGATGAACTGTTAAAATCTCAGGATGCTCCATCTGTGGAATTTCTGGCCAAAGAAAAACCATTATTTGGCATACCTTTTACCACCAAGGTAACTTTTGAGTCTTATTTGTTTCACAATTTAATTTTATTAGAAGAACCGAGTTTAAACAATTAAATTTTTGCTTTTTATCACCTGTTAACATAATTATGTGACTATAATTTAAGGATATCATTTGTATTATTGTAGGACTGTATTGCAGTCAAAAACATGCAGCAAACGGCTGGTCTAGTTATACGGAAAAACACTGTCGTTGATAGAGATGCAGAAGTGATAAGATTAATAAGATCAGTTGGAGCCATACCTCTGGCACTGACAAATGTTTCAGAACTGGCAATGTGGTGGGAAAGCAGTAATTGTTTATTTGGTATCACCAAGAATCCATATAATACAAGGTATAATACGTTGGTAATTATACCAATACGTATCATTGGTATAATATAATATCATCTCCAATTATTTCACAATATTTATTGAACACATATAATTATTTATCGAAACTTTATCGAAAAAATTCTTGAAGAGATGAAATAAATTTTGTTTTATAATGTACAATTAAATCACAAAGAATATATTAAAATATAATTATTAAATTTGCTTTAATATTCAATATATGATATTATAGATTAATGTATTATAAGTATGCCAATGTATATATTAGGCAGCAGTTACGAAATTTCTTCATAACTTTATTATAATTTGAATTTGAATGTACTACAGAAATAACAAGATAAAATCCTACAAAAATTTCTTATTTCATTATTATTCATTTTCAGACATATTGTGGGTGGTTCTTCGGGTGGTGAAGGCTGTATACAAGCAGCAGCTGGATCACCATTTGGAATTGGCTCGGATATTGGTGGCTCTATTCGTATGCCGGCATTTTTCAATGGAATTTTTGGTCATAAGCCAACTAAGGGTGACGAAAATTGAGAATTTGAATAATTTAAATATTTCTTGTTATCAATGTGAAAATATTATATTTTTATTATAGGAATTGTTTCGAATGATGGTCAATATCCTAGTGCACATGGTGATGATCAAGAGCAATTACTCGCCATTGGACCAATGTGTAGATTTGCACAAGATTTAACATTAATTCTTAAAATTATCGCAGATAAAAATGCCGATTTATTGAAGTTAAATCAGAAAGTGGATATTTCGAAAATCAAGGTAAGTTATGTATAGATTTAAAATAAAATATGGTTTGAAATAAAATTAATTATTTTTTCTTAAATTTAATTAGTTTTTCTTGAACTTAATCTTACTTTATATATGCATGCTTGTGCAGCAAAATATCAAGGTTAATATTATATAAATGATTTATCATATAATAATTAGGGAATCATATTTCTATGTAACTTTAGCTCTATTATATGGAAGACGATGGTGGTCAGTATCTGATTTCGCCAGTGGATCTAGAGATAAAAGCCGTTATGAAAAGAGTGATAAATTATTTCGAAAAAGCGCACAAAGTTAAAGCCACGAAAGTAAACATAAAGAAGCTTAAAAAAAGCATAGCCCTCTGGTTAGCAAACATGTCATGTAAGAAAGAGGAAGATTTTTCATACGAGCTAACCAATAGAAAAGGTCAACTTAATGTCTGGTTGGAAATTATTAAATGGATGTTATTTATGAGCAATCACACTTTGGTTGCTCTTGTCACTGCCATATTTGAAAAATGCGGCTTAAAACATGGAAGTGAGAAACATGTTCGACTTATGCAACAGAGTAAAGATCTTTATCAAGAATTTAAGGTACTGTTGTGTTATTTTTTTTTGTTATATGATTTTTATATCAACACATGCTTCAAGTGCTATTGCTGTAAAATTTTTCTATATATGAAAATATACATGATGTTTTATATTTATAATATTTTTTTTAGGATATTTTAGGAGAAGACGGTGTGTTTTTATATCCAACACATCCAACTGCAGCTCCAATGCATCATGAACCGTTGTGTAAGCCATTCAATTTTTCTTATACTGCAATCATTAATGTATTAGGCCTACCGGCTACGGCTTGTCCATTAGGTTTAAATAAACAAGGACTTCCCATTGGATTACAAGTGTGTATTCGTATATTTCTATGCAAAATTAAAAGGTAGTGTCTCACTTGTATATTTAAGTAATATAATAATATAATCATATAGATCGTAGCAGGACTTTATCAAGATCATTTATCTCTCGCTGTTGCGGAAGAATTGGAACGAGGTTTCGGAGGATGGGTACCACCAGCAATAATAGCCTGATGTTTAATACTGTCATAGATAATAATTCTATGAATGAACGATACACACATAAAAGCCTCATCTTACCTACTCTGCCATCTTTCTCTTGCGAAGTATTATATTTATATCAAGATTTTCATCTATGTAAACACTATCGAGAGGTAAAGTACAAATTATACGAATACGAATTATACGAATATGAATTTGTATATATGAGTATGTATATTCACATGCATTTAATATGAAATTTCTTACAATATTTGATATTCCGTAAATTTTGTGATGAAGTAAGTTTATATATGTATGATTATGTTGTAACTTTGCATTTATGAAATTCTAAGGTAACATTTATATTATATAATATCTAAATAAGAAAATGTACATGAATCTTCTGACCAATTGTTTATTGGAACTCCTTGAAATAATATAATAATCGATGTTGCGATATTAATGCAGCCAATTATATTTTAACGATATTATTTACGATTAATTCAACATAAAATAAAAATATCGCTATGTGCAAATACGCACTCTTGCATGAGAAAAACGAAAATTTTAATTTTCAAAATGATACATTAAATATTTGTATAATAGAGAAGATAGTTCTACATATGAATATTTTCCATTTTATGTTGAATTGCAGTATTATATACCTCAAACTTCTATATATAGAATTTTCTATTTTCATACGTAATATATGTAAAATCAGATGATAGCAGGGTGCTTTTGGTAACATGTGATAAGACATTCTATATTATTTAAGACATGTATTGATGTTGAAAATTTATACACACACACACACACACACACACACACACACACACACACACACACATATATATATATTTTATCTATCGAAATAAATTTTTATTATATTATTTCATCACAAGATCTTCCTCATGTCCATTATTCTTTTTTCAGCATTACTGTTGTAAATAACAAATTATTTCATTAATATGAATAATGTAAGATAATTTTATAGCTTAATTAAGTACTTTTACAATAATCAATATAATATAAAGGAAAGAAGTGCGGAATGTAAGTTGTCGCGTTTAAAATATAATTTTAACTTAAATATATGTTATTATATCACATCGCGTCAAAATTATTGTACATTTAGATGCAGTGCATAATAAATCACATCTTAGAGTTCTACAAATTTCAAATTTTCTGATTTATCTTCGTAATAAATAACTTATTACATATATGTATGTATAAAATGCAGATATGCAAAAAAATTTATCTATTAGACAAATAGTTACTGGAAGAATAAGTTTCATTATAGGTTCAATATACAGCATTTGTAAGCTGAAAAAAAATGTATTTTGTAGATGCTATTTAAAATATCTATATATGTACGTTATTTTAAAAAATATAGATTGTATTGAAAATATTTATTTTGTTACTAGCAAAAAAATATGATTTCATTAAGACTGCACTATTTGTAATGTATGATATTTATATATTTCACGAAATGTCTCATGCTCATTCATTCTTCAGTTCTCATAACTGAATAGAAAAGACATTTTACCAACCGTTACAAATTTTCCAAAACATACTTGATTCTTATTAAATATATCAGAATGATTATAAAATAGCATGAACAGCCCTTATTTTTCTATTACAGTCTCTTTAATATTAATTAGATTGTTGTCCTAGAGGGAAGAGCTGCCTATGTATAATTTGATAAACAGATATCACATTTTCAACAATTGTCATAATTAAGTTAAACATGCCTAATGCAAGGATCATAACATCATAAAATTTGTCGTATATTTTTATAAATTTTAATACAAATTTAATATTTTTGCACGTTTTATAAATACAGTTCAAGGATAAAAATTATTGAAAAACTTGACTTCGACTTTTCAGTGCGCTTATAATATTCACTTCTAATAGTATTTTAAGGTCAATATAAAAATTTCATCTCCTGATTTTATACATTCCAAGAAAGCGAAAATCCATAACCAGAAAAGCATCGAGCCAAATTATATCTAGAAAATAGTCTACAAGAGAATTTGTTGCGATCATAAAATTACTCATATAATATCTCGAAACTGTTCGAGCCGTTATTTAGAGATTCGCGTCACTTATAAAAAATTCATTTAGCAGGAAAAGATAGATTTCTATCAGTAAGTATTACAAATACTTAGATCTATGGAGATCGACATTACGTTATGAGATTCGTTTTCTCCGACGGTGTTTCGCTGTTGCCGTTGGTGATGAGAGCTCTTTCTTCTAATCTATTATCCAATGAGTTGTCCTTGCTCTCTTTACACGACCTATTGGAAATCATCTCAAACTCGTTCAAGTTGATATCCGCGTCAAAAAACGTTAAGTCAATGATATTGGACTGATCTGTTCTATCTTCAGACTGATGTGTCTCGTTTATCTTTCCGTTACTGATTCGTTCGTGTAATTGTTCCTTAATTCTGTCCTCGTTATTTCTTACTGATCCCGTCGCCTCTTTCTGTTTGTTCAATCGCTTATTTATTACATCTAGCTCTACATCCATTTGCAGCGCTCTCCCAGAGAGTTTTGTGGAATTGTCGGAATTATTCAAGAATGTTTTATCCGCGTTCGTTGGAACGTCCAAGCCATCGCTCCTCTGATGGTTTTCGTTTGCGGTTTCCGATCCGTCTCGAAGGTTGGCCGGTTCTTGCATGTCGACATGATCGTCTTTTCCCTTTTTAGCGGCGGCGGCGGCGAGCTCGGCCTCTTTCATCGCCGAGTGGATGACCGGCTCTGCCCATAATCCCGGGTTGAAGGCTGGCCCCGTTCCACCGAGCTCCGCCGGCAGGATGTCCGTTGGCAGGTGTTCGTGAAGCGTACTGAGATTGTTGCCGTGCAGATAAATCTGCCAGGAGAAAAACGATAATATCTTTTTGCATTCGAGGGACGATTATCAGTAATGTCTAAATAATAATTTGTAGCCACATTTATGCATATTTCCGAAGGTATCGCTTTACTAAGAAATTCAGCTTATTCTATGTTTTTCTTGCAGATTACGTCGTAGGCAAGCAACGGATTTATGCGTTGAACTATTTGCTACATACGATAAAAACTGGATAGCAAATGATCAGAAATAAATTATCGAGTCTAGTTGATCTACTTGCAGGCAGACGTAATAATAAATTTTTATTATGATATATGAAATAAAATTTTACAGTTATAATTTCGTTGCGTACATTGAACTATTGAAGCATGATTATAATTATGTAAATACTTATCTCCACTCAAACCAATTGCATTAATTGACATATTTTACTTAGTTTATATTTATAGTCGAGTCTTACACTTTCAGACTGTTTTAAGTATAATCTTAATGTGTCATGAATCGTATTAGCATCTTAAGACGATTACTTAAGACGGTTTTTGAAATAAGAACAGAACGAATACCGGCCCTGAATATCGGTCTCAGAAGATTTTTTTTATGCATTACTTATGTATGCCTTACCTTATTTCGTGTCTTCTCATCCAAAAATGGCTTCACCAGGGCCAGAGTTGCCTGGACGTAGAGCGGCGCCGAGAGGAAGTGTATTGCCTTGAATCGGGCGGGAAATCGCCCACGTAGAGCAGCTATTAAATTTCGCAGAGCCGCTGCCCCCAATGCACCGCCCTGTCGTAACGAAAATCCGCTCCAGTCTACCACGGCGACGAAACCGGATTGCTGAAAAAAAAGGAGCCGTAGGTCATCGTTAAGCATTCAAGCAGCGTGTAATAATTCCAGAAGTGGATACCGAGTCTAGGCTGATCGTTTAGATTTAGCTGAATGAAACAGCATTAGCTGCTGTCGAATTCAAAACATATTAATATATTAGGTGTAGTAAAAAAAAAATCCATTATTTTTCCATTCAATTTCATGCAAAAATAATGGATTTCTTTTTACTATTATTATATAAGTACGTATGATAACGAGTTATGAACTTCGACGCTTACATTTTTATATTAACATTGAACTTAAATTTTTATATCATAATATATTTTATAATATTGAATTTATTATTTTTTATTTGTAATTATTATTTTTGCATTTTATAATACTGAACTTATATTAATATAGAACTTTTGGGTCTTTTATAGTTTTTTTCATAGTTTAGTTCCATCAAGATAGGAACGATGCATCAATACCTTTCAAAATTAAGCTCTAAAAAATTCGTTGCTTTAAAAACATAAAAAGCAGCCACTTTATAATAATATGATAATAGTCGATTTCATGGAATAAGACTAATGGAAGATTGACTAATAAATAACGAATGTGTACCTGATTTCGAGGATCTTGAATAAGTATTTCCAGAACTAAGAATATCGCTCGTTGAACGGACAATGCGGGCACGGCTACAGGATCCCATTGCGACGCCAAAATAACCAGCACGCATCTACCTTTCCTATATTAATTTATAGTAAAACAAAAATTAATGAAATAATTAATAAGATAATTAATAAGATAATTGATTAATAATTCACACATTCTAAGTTATTAGTAATAATTAGTCAGAAATTTTGTAACTAGAAATTGACTAATCATAGTCAATTATTCTTCTCATATTCAACTGTGATTAATTAGTTTCTAGCTGACTTCTGACTTCTGATTTATTACTAATGGCTTATTATAGAATGATCATTACAAATAAATTTCTGTTTTATTTACATTATTAAAACAATTAAGAAAGAGATAAGATTTTTTCTCTTTTAAATAGCTTAGATTACCAAAAATATTTAAATATTAAATAACTCGATCACGAATACGTTTGCATTCTTGTATAAAACAAAATACCATGTTAATATTTATGCGCAAGACGAAGCATTTCCGGCACGTACACGGCGCGTGCCGATAACGACGGAAAGGCGAATAAGCATAAATTAGCAGGGCGTTCATCAGAAACTAACTGTAAGAGCCTAAGGAACATATCAAGTCAAGTGAAAAAGTCAAAATGACTTTATTTTGACGTCATGAAAATTTATAAAATTTTCAAAACGTTTGCCAAATTTATAAAATTTGACTATTATTGACGTTGAGAATCAAAATGAACTCATTAAAATTTTTTGTTGACTTTTATGTGTCCCTTGAGAGATCATTATTCATACCTGTCACGTGCAGGTAAGACACCCGGTATACCTGCGCGAAGCGCACGCTGCAATGCCGGATCCCGGGCAGTGAGATTACCGAAGATATCCTGGCGATGTGTTATTTGCGCCTGATAAGCGGCTATCAAAGCCGCTGCTTGCTCGGTGCGATACTTCCGGGCTAGCAGGAAGCGCGTGATATATTCATCCGTGCAATGTTCCAGGTCTGAACATAACAAACGAAGGCCGATCATTGCAATGCTATTCGTGAAATGCTGTGCGCGACCGGAAGCAATTCGAATGAGAATATTCCCCGGAAGTGTATATACAACATAGACTGAACATACTAATATTTGTCCTTAATCGTCGATGACGTCTATCTTTCCCGTTTTTACAATTAATTGAAGATTATTTTTATTCAAGCAATTGTAAAAAACAGTTGTTGATAACTTCACTTGGAAAATAGAATAGTCACATTATTATTTTGAGTTCTGTTCTTTGTCATTATATTGAACATTAAATTTTTTTCTCACTTTCATCAAACTTTAAATATTATCTATTTTATTTTAAGTACAATAACAAGTATACACTCCCCATGTAACAATTCTTTCAAGAGGTGTTTGTGCTGTATGAAGAGTGTACTCATCCTGAAGATATCTAGAGGATATCTCTATGTCTTCTGAACGTCTTAGATGTTTCCAGGACGTCTCATGGATAAATACACTATACATATCTCTCTCGTTTAGTCATAGAAAGAATAGAGCCAGTACATATTGTCTCTCATAAGAACGATATTCCGATACACATGTGATAAATTAATTTTGATTTTATTTAGTGCAATTCTTACCTACATCCGGCATTTGTCGAAGTATAGATCTGACAGTCTTAATGGCTAGTTTCTTATCACGTTTATCGAATCTGCCTCCTTCTTCATAAATGCTACGGGCCAAACTACTACGACCTCGGGCGGGATCGCACCACATATATTCGCAGTATTCGGACATTTTGTTTTCTTTTTCAGATACGCGTCGATAATCTGAAACATTACAAATAAAACATTTTTTCATGACACCAATTTTTGATTGATTTTAAAATACGCAATGAAATTTTTCCGATATCGAATTTTGATATTTTCGAAGCATTCACAAGATCTGATGAGAAATCTGACATCGAGAATTCGTAAATAAAAAAATTTATACCTGCGATATAAATATAAGTGCGTATATGATAATTTTATTTGGGTCGAGTTTAAATAACAAAATAATAAAATTCAAGGTGAAAACGAGATCAATCGCCAAAATGATGAAAAAAACGAAGTTTATTTCTCCTGAGACAAATGTTGAATGAAGAATTGCGAAATAAATATTTCTTACGACATTTTCATTGATATTTATTAGTTGATGAAAAACATTTCTGTGAAATATATCTCATCAAATGTAAAAAAATAAAATAGATGACTTATTTTTTAAGAATAAAATTTTATTGCACATATTTAAATAAATATTTATTTCAGTGAAATAAATATATTTCTCTCAAATAAATTTTGTAAGACAAGTAACTTTATCTCAGGGAAAGAAATATACACAGAAACATTTATCATCAAATAAAAGACAAGTCATCATGACATCAAAATAACATGAAAAAAACTTCAAAATGATCCATTAAAAGTCACTTTTCAATTATGACTTTTATTATTTTAACATTATTGTGACTTGTTGCTCTGTTAATTGGAGCACAGAGTAGGTATATAGTGATATTCGTTTTTATTTTCATTCATTAGTTATCAAATGTACATAATATATCTGCGATTTTATTTTTTTATTATTAACGAAGTGGACAACGAAGTAACACATATAGGAGTAACACATGAGAAGAACCATGTCCGCTAGCAAAAGCGGGACGCGCTCTGAATCATACACGGCGTGTCGTGTTCAAGCACGACTGCACATTGCACTGGGCAACAAAGAGAATGTGTATAACGTCCGATGAATGATTTGCAAAGTATAGTTACAGGTTTAAATTGTGTATAGTTATAGGCCGCATCAGATAAATAATGTGAAATTTATCTAACGGATGTTTTTTGCTCAAAAAGCGATAATTCGCGATTGCGCTTCTCCATGTTGGAAAATGACGCGGTTTGTATTCGTTGGAAGCTGGAAGATAAGTTGAATCCGATGAGCATCTAGGTGAAGGTGAGAATAGCGTCGAGATAAGACTCGTCTTAAAAGATTTCATTTCGCATCTCGCTTTTTCCTCGCGTTAATAGCAAAGTGCAGCGCATTGCCCCAAGGATGACTCACAGAAAATCATCCTTGTGAAGCGCGTCATGCGAGCGTTCTTTCGACCGGTTCGGATAATTATTTCGCGAAAGTTTCACATGACCTTGCAACGGGCGATTGCATCGATCGATTTACGATCACTTTCCAAGCGGCTAGCACGTCAAGATGCAATCGTTTTGGTACACTGGGCAAAAATTAGATTATTGTTGATAGCACGAAATTTTGCCGAAATGACATTCAATTCAAAAAACGAAGCTAACAAGGAAACATTCTAAAAGTGATATTGGTCCATTTGGAAATCAATAACACCCTGGACCTAAAATCTAAATAACTCATCTAATGACTCTCTTCAATCTCTACAATTTTTATTTAAAACGTTTTTTTTTTCCAAAATGTATTGTTCTCGAGATATTTTGTGTTTAAGTTAAAATGATCAAACAAATTCCAACCTAAGTCAGATACAGAATCTGTAGGATTCTAAGATTTGACTATCTAGAATACTAATTTCAAATGTTTCGAACTTTTCGATTAATAATGTTAATTTTTTTTATATTACTTAACATGTTCCTTTGTAAGATATTTCATATTCCTTCGAGAGGATCAGAATGGAAGATTTGATTATCAGTTTAAAATAAATTGTACGATTTTAATTAGCTGTGTTTAGCAGAAAAAGCAATTTCGAAATTGTTGTAAAATTCTTTATGATTGATTTTACTCTAGTTTCTCACTGAAACTAAATATATAAATCAATTATATTAAAAAAATCTTACAACAATGCTTTTTTCTCAACACAACCAATTGTAATTAACGCTAACGAGATAGTGTGGTAAATGAACTGATGTGAGACCAAGATAAACTGCGAACTGTTGATGAATGAAACTGAGGACGACCGATATCTTGCCTGGCCGGTCGGAGCCGGTTTCAGAAACGGTACTTAAACGTCTTGTAAGTTAATAAAGAATATAAATTACATATATCAAAATTATTACCTGCATATCTTACAGCTTTCCTGTCGGTACGGATCTCGAATCCTTGATTATGAAACGTTATTAAAAGATATTTGCACAAAACCGAATTATTTTTAACGATATGTTAATTATTTTCGATTAAAAGTAGATCTAGTCGAGAAGATAAATAGAAATCCAAATAATGAAAAATAGAACAACGTATCTAATTTATACCATTACGTCAGATATGTCTGTCTCTCCGATAAAGTTTACCGAACCGTTAATTACTACCTCAGCAACACGGTAAAAGCTGCGCACTGGCGTGCAAATTGAAAGCGATGAAGGAACAAGAAAAACAGACGTAATTATAGCGACCCCGAAGAATTAATTAATCTTTCGGACCTGCAAAACAATTATTGATGCTAATAATCTATAAGCCTCATTTAATAAATAATTAATTAAAAGATATCAATGAATATCAAGAAAACAAAATAACAAAAAGTGAATTAAGTATATTTTAAGAATAATCCAAATTTGCAGATATATAATAAAGAAAATTACATTATTTGATATTTTTAACAAAGAAATTTATAAATTTAAATGAATAGAATAGACTCACTAGTCAGCTGGAGAGTTAAGAAACATTATGTAAGAACGCAAACAATGAAACTACAACGAAAGCGAGAAAAATCGAAGTAGAAGATAAAAGAAAAGAAATACATCACATACTTACAGTGTAAGAGAGACTATCACGTATAAATCTCTAAAAGAGAAGAGATTCCTGATTCTCTTTGCGCTCCTAATCGGGAAGCGTCGTGATGGTGAACACGAGGACAAAATCGGCGACGCACCTGCGCGACCGACAGAACTGTGCGCGCAATGAAGAGTTACTTGGACTCGCGGCGGCCGGCGCCGATTCGTTCGAAAGTGTCAGAGCGTTGAGAAACATGAGACGGAGAGCGAGGAGTAATAACCACAACGGGATTATACATTGCGAGAGAACAAAAAAGAAACGGGACGGAAAGAGCTCACCAATGGGGCAGAGATGAAGAGAGAGGGAAAGAGAGAGGAAAGCCGGTTACCAATAACTTGCCGCTGACTCACCGCTCCATGTTCTCCTTGCACCCCCTTGCTATTGTAATCTCATCCCGAAAAATTGGCTGCGTTCAGAAAAAGCACCTTTGCTTACTGTGTTATAAGATATTTTAATAATGATTAGTTCTTACCCTTAATTAATTATATCTGTTTTTATAAATGTGTTAATATTTATAGTTTAACTAAAGTATATACGTACGAAAATTATGTTTATAACAATTTATTTTCCTTGAATAACAAGATTTTGTCATTTTACTTATTCTATTTATTATTATTTTTATTGTTATTAAATTAAAATTAAAAATGATATAAATTTCAATTTTTTAATACAATACTTCGAGTTTTAAGTACTTAAAATGACTTACGCAAAGTTTTATTGCGATTCAAACATTAGTTATAAAGATTTAGAAGAAATAAATATTTTGTTTATTTACAGAACAATTAATTTCTACATTACGATGTAATTTTGCATAAATCATCTCAAATACCTAAAACACTGTATAAAAAATTGGGAATTTTATTTTATAAAACATTTGTATACATTTCTATTAGAGCACAGATTTAAAAAATGTTTCTTCTTGAAATAATTTTTGATCTAGATGACCCATTGCTTAATTGTTTGTATTAAATAATCTTTTTTTTTTCTTAATTAGTAAGGATTATAAACGAGATATTGTGTTACTTTTAAGTGCGATCTGGAATAATCTGTAATTTTTTCATTGCTTTTTCATTACTTTGAAGTATGTGTAATATATCCTTAATTCTTCACTGGATTTAAATGTATGACCAATTATATTAATATTACTAAAAATATTATATTAAAGTTTTATATATATTTTATATATTAAAGATAATATTTTATATTAAAGAATCTGACAACAATAGCAAAGCTGCTTTTTTACTGAACGCTATAACCATTGTTGCGTTCCAAAAAATTGTCTACGATCTATTAGATGAGGATATCATAGTGACTGACGCGCGACTGGCGTCATGATTATCGACGAGCGGAACTGAGTAAAACGTTACCAGGGCGATGTGAGTGGGTGGTGTAACAATAAGTGTACGTATTATGTACCTACTTGGCCACGCGAATCGAGGAGTGTCGACTCTTATTTCTAGGATTCTAAAATAGACTAAAGGATCATAAAATTTTTCAAGACACAAAACTTGCTTTTGTGGTAAAAATATTTAAGAATAACTCTTTTAGGAAGGATTTCGAAAGAAGATGAAATATTAAGCGGAAATATATGTATGAAGTGTTGTCTGAA